CCCCCCCGCTGGGACCCCTAAGAGTTCCAGAGGTCCATCTGCACCGATCGGTAAGAGCGCTCCGTTTTCTTGTCTTTGCTTTCCTTTTCTTTTCCGAAGCCGGCGGTTGAATCTGACAGGCTCACCTTGGCAGATGCGCCTGTAAAGTGACCCTGGAGAAGTCGAGAGACGTCTCGACCCCTCGTCAGGACGTGGGGGGGGGGGGCTCAGAGGACCCCTCCTCCATCAGAGGACTCCTGTGTGGAGTCCATCCATTTAAGGGGACCAGGAACCAATCTTAGAGTTCTGTGGCCCCGTCTGAATGGTTTTTGGATCCGTGTACATCAACACGGGTTCCAGAGACCCTCTGTTGCACCCGGGAATCTGTTAATCTGTTAAGGCCTTGTCATTTCTTTATTGTCTGTTCTTGTGTTTGTTTTTTGTTTCTCTTCCCTTTGTTCATTAGCTTTCTAAACTAACCATGGGGACAACTCCATCTTCCCCCTTGGATTTAACCCTTGCTCACTGGCAGGACGTGCAAGACACGGCGAACAACAACAGTGTGAATGTCAGGAAGCGTAAGTGGGTGAGATTTTGCTCCGCAGAGTGGCCAACTCTTAATTTTGGCTGGCCGGCGGAGGGCACTTTTGATCTGGCCATTATCCAGAAAGTAGAGGAAATAGTTTTTAGACCCCGTTCAGGATACCCGGACCAGATTCCATGTGTAGTTACCTGGCGGGGCCTGATTGATCGGCTTGAAGGTCCCCTGCCATGGGTCAAACCTTTCCTCCCTGCTAGGAAAGCCAAACAGACAGGTGGCATGCCTGAGGTCCTGCAGGGAAGGACTGATGAAACTGAACTTTTCCCTCCACCATACTCCCCTAGGGCACAACCGACGGTGCAGCCGACAGCGCCACCACCAGAGCCAGCTTTGGCCCCACCACCCCCATGGGGTCCTGCACAGGCAACGAGAAGCCGTCAAGGGGCGATCCCTCAACCTGACACCACAGTTGCCCTCCCTCTGAGGCCGGCGGGACCCCCAGATGAGGACGGGAATCAGCCCTTCCATTACTGGCCATTTGCCACTAGTGATCTCTATAATTGGAAGGCACAGAATGCCCCTTTCTCTAAAGACCCCCAAGACTTAATTTACCTTTTAGAGACTGTTCTTTTCACACACCAGCCCACCTTTGATGATTGCCAGCAACTCCTGGGCATCCTCTTCACCATTGAAGAGAGGGGACGGGTCCTGGAACACACCCGAAAGCTTTTCCCCGGGCCTACTGGAGACCCCCTGACTGATCCAGCTGTTATAACTGCTGCTTTCCCTTCTACCCGCCCCAACTGGGACTATAACGTGGATGAAGGTAAGGAGAGTCTCCATGTTTATCGCCAGGCTCTGTTGGGGGGTCTCAAAGCAGCGGCACGAAAGCCGACAAATATGGCCAAAGTCTATGATATAAGACAAGGAGTGGACGAGAGTCCGGCTGCCTATTTAGAAAGGTTAATGACCGCCTTTGAACAATACACCCCGTATGATCCTGAGTCACCGATGACAACACAGGCAGTCCATACTAGCCTACATAAACCAGGCAGCACCAGATATTAGAAAAAAGTTGCAGTCATTAGACAGACTAGGAGAAAAAACCTCAGGGAGCTAGTAGCGGTGGCGGAAAAGGTATATAACAAGAGAGAGACAGAGGAGCAGAAGGAAGAAAGGAAAGAGAAACAAAGACAACAAAGAGAGGATAGACGAGATATGAGGCAGGAAAGGAATCTAACTAAACTGTTAGAACAACAGCAGGCACAATTGGAGAGAGTCCTGTTGGCAACTGAGAAAGGAATTCTCCGAGGAGCCGGAACGCCCCGACCCAAGCCAAAACCCAAGGTAGGAAGAAACCAATGTGCGTATTGCAGGGAGGAAGGACACTGGGTCAGGAATTGCCCCAAGAAGAAAAAGGTACCGCATGTCCCAACCCTAGCAACCACTCTGGAAGAAGAAAGTGACTAGGGGGGACGGGGCTCAGCACCCCTCCCTGAGCCCAGGGTAACCTTAAAGGTGGAGGGGAAGCCAATCCAATTTATGGTAGACACAGGAGCTGAGAGTTCGGTCCTCCTGGCCCCTGCCGGACCCCTGTCCTCAAAACGAACCTGGGTACAGGGAGCCACAGGAACTAAGTCATATTCATGGACTACTCAAAGAACTGT